CTCTCTCTCACACACACACACGCACACACACACACACACACACACACACACACACACACACACACACAACACACAAAGACACACACACACACACCAGACAAAGACACACACACACACCACACAAAGACACACACACACCTGCACACGACATGCCAGGGTGTCGTACATGAGTGAACTATTGACGGTCATAAAACGTATGAAAACAAAAACTTGCATGGGCTATCCCTTCGTAATCCTCAGAGAACAAGGCATGTGGACCACATGCTAGCCGAATCTCAGGGGGGTCAGCACAGAGCAGCATTGAGCAAGTTTCCCCAATACTTATTCCTTCTCTATGGTCAGACGACGGGGATTGACCCAAAGTCAGGGTGTTTAGCAGCTGCAGAATTTGATCTGCAACTGAAGCGGTTTTCACCTGTTAGCAGTAGCGAATGCACATTCCAGGGCTCGATCCCTAGTTCTCACCTTACCTGTGTACAGTATCTGTGTCGACCCCTGAGTGTTTGAACCCGTGACCTGTGTTTTGTTAGTTGTTGTTTGTCTGTCGTAGGACTGAGCAGATGTAGGGATTCGATCTGTAGGTCTGTCGAGTAGGGGTCGCAGCTCTGTAGAGGTCGCAGCTATAGGTCTACCGAAAGGTCCAGGTCGTAGCTGCTACAGCCCTGAAAGGTCAAGGTCGTAGCTGCTACACTACCTGAAAGGCCAAGTCCACAGACTTCCGGAAGGTCCCGGAAGTGGCCTTTCGGAGTGGGCTCACGTTTAGGCAGAGGCAAGTGGGCAAGTGGTGGAGCCAACCTCAGTACGTTGGCAGTGCGACTGCAGTGAGTTTGCGGTGCAAAGTTGCAAACCCATGCAGTCAGCGGTACCGGTCCTGTCAGTCCCAGTCCAGTCCAGCAAGTACCATGAGGGACTGTGTGCACCATGGGCCGATGGAAAAGGGCAGACCAGCGACTTAGAGAAGTATAAATCAAGAGGCAGCGCCCAGCCATTCATTCATTCCTGCGTAAGTCATGCGGAAGCGCTGCCATAGCGACTCGTGCGAGGTGGTCTGCGGTGAGCCCGAGGACGAAGTGGGCGAGAAGGAAGTTAGCCATAGCGATAGGGTAGCAGCGGCCATAGCCGCCATAGCTGTAGATGTAGTGCATAGTGTGTGTGTGCGGGTTTGCTGAGTGATGCGTGTGGGGTATCCAGGGTGATCCAGAGTTGTGTGTGTGTGAACGGGAGTTGAGCGCAGTGACGAACTGAGCGTTGTGGGCGCCGTGCGCCATAGCCATTTGAACTGAACTTGTATCTGAGCTGCGTTCTTGGTTACTATATCTCTGAGTTCTGAGTGGGCGCTTGACGCCAGTTTGCTGCGCAACCTGTTTGCATGCATGTGACGTGTAAATAAGAGCGAGTCTGATTGCACAACAGCTTGCCCAAGTGGTGATCACCTTTCCGTACAGCGCTCTGTAGGCGGTTCATGTGAGAGTCTATTTTCCTCCTCAGGCCGCTGCATCCGTAGTTCGTCTGGCAAGGATGAGGGAGATCCTACGGCGATTGCAGCAGGTGTGTGCCCAACATTGCATTGCATGTGGGACATGGTAAGAGAGGGTGTGGTGGATGATGGCATCGGGGATAGTCCACGCAGTAGCGACACGTACTTTCTATGACAGCTTCCTGGAGACATTGATGACATATTACGTTGTTATTATTTTATTTAATATTAATACGAGATGCCGGGAGAGATGTTGGAGGAGGGAGTTGGTGGCGGGACGAGGAAGGAGGTGACGTTGGTTCTTGCTGGTGTTCCTCTTCTTCTTCCTCTCCGTGCATTCTCTTCTTTTGTCTATTTTTTTCAAGCTCTTTTATTTCAGACGCAAGTGCAAGGCATCGTCTTTCTTTGAGTTTCTGCACTGAGAGGTATCCAGGATCATAACATCTACATGTACGTGCAATGCAGGTGGACGATACGCACAAGGTGGAGAAGGTGAAAACAGCAGAAGTCATTCTTGCACAAAGGCCATGCTAATCTCCTCTCTATGACAGCAGTTTTAAGTTTTAACCTAGGAAGATTTTCATGACCGGGCCGGTCACCCGGGCGTGACGCCCAGGATATCTGGGCATGGGGGGGAAAAAAAAGAAGAAGAAACTTCAAAAAAGGCGGTGGGGGTTTTCCACGCTCTCCGAGAGGAACCGAAATCTGGGCTCTTTTCTTTTTTTTTGAGTGTTGGCTGTCAAGGGGGGGGAAGGGGGGTATAAATGTTTTTTAAAGGGGCTAACGGGGTTTAAAGCGGGGTGCCTTAGTGCGATTCGGTTATAATTTTCTTTTCTATCTTCAGTTCCGTGAGGAATTCTGATGTGACCCTCAGCCAAAAGTGGTTTGCATTGCAATTCTACACAACATATTTTTATTTCCCCGGATTTTTTTGGATTTTTTTATTCCCTTTTTTTTTTTTTTGCGCTGGTGCTGCCCGGGACCCTGCCCGGGGGTCATGCCCGTCCAGGCACCTGGGCGTGTACCCGGGCACAAGTTGGGTGCCCGGGCACGGGGCAAAACAGCCTAGTTTTTTTTTAAGTTTGAACTGATGCATAGTATTAGTTATTTATCGCACTTTTTTTTTGTGTGACTGGTTGCCAAACTCTTCTTATGTGGAGGAGATTGGAAGAGAGAGGGAGGAAGGAAGAGAGGAGGGGGGGGGAGAGAGAGGGAGTC